GACTTAGAGTGGATAATTACGGGGTCAAGTAATGGCCATATCACAATAACACTTCAGGGTGTATTATTTGAAATAGAAAAAGAGAAGAGATTTTTTTGAAACATTTGATACTTTTTTCATTAAATAAAAGAGATTCATTCTTCGCCTAACCCTTTGGAATGATGACGAGTTGAACCGGTTCGATGAAGGAATATAAATCTTTTGACGAAGGTGCATAGAATTACTTAAGCCCCCCCATGACATAGTCGATCGCCTTTCTTTAATTGAAATTTTATATTTTATCAATGCTTTTATCTATCGGAACCAGTTTCCGGCTAAGAAGAATATGAATAGATATTTCTAGTACATAACAAGCACCACCTGGTACATTCTTATTAAAAAATAATTCTTAATCAAATATATTTTCGTACCGCATTTCTTCAGATCGATCTATAAGATAAGAGACCAACAATTTAATAGGTGTCTAAAATAAAATCGCATTGGACATTTTAAGCAAAAGATTCCAGTCTGTCTACGAAAATCGTTTTATATCTTTCACTTTGGGATACGTGACATTTTTACAATCCTATTTTGTCGTTTATTCTTTGACAAAACCGAAAAATTCCGGTATTTTGAAAATGATATAATAATTATTTCTCTCTATCATTCCCTAATTATTTTTGCAAGGGTCTTTATGCCCAATTGGGGTATCTATTTCGAAGACAATAATAATTATTAAAAATAGAACCGGTTAATTGTTGCTATTTAGTCACGAAAACAATTCATTTATTTCATTTCGTTGACAACAACACATAATTATTAAAGAAATTTCAATAAAATAATGAATTAACCAATCAAACCAGTGCAAAAAACACACACAGAAAGAACAAGCCATGTAAATTTCGATAATAAATCTTCATAATACTTTGCAAATCTAATTGAATTGAATTTTGTTATTAATAGAAAAAAGTGCTTATAATTGCTTGTTTTGAACATATGAATGAACCATAAAATTGCGATAATGAAAACATCATTAATAATCAAGACCAAAAAAAGAACATAGCGAACATAAACAATTCAGAATGGAATAGAAAAAAACTTCTCAGAAAAAAAGTATAAAAAATTAAAAAAAACTTTAATTAAGTTCAAAATACAAACCAATTGCGATATTTATCAATTAATTGAATTAAAATGTGAAATACTTTTTTTAATTTAAAATTTACAAGATGAGCATTTCATGTGGTGCGCACATGTTTATTTATCACAGATTAATAACAAAATATTAAACAAAATAAATCTGGATTTTTTAAAGAATTTTTATTCAAAACCCAAAAGGACCAGAAACGTGGATTTTTAAAAGAATTTTTATTCAAAACCCAAAAGGCCCAGAAACGTGGATTTTTTAAAGAATTTTTATTCAAAACCCAAAAGGCCCAGAAACGTGGATTTTTAAAAGAATTTTTATTCAAAACCCAAAAGGCCCAGAAACGTGGATTTTTAAAAGATTTTTTATAGAAATCCAAAAGACCCAGAAACGTGGATTTTGAAGAGAATTGTTATTCAAAACCCAATAGGCCCAGAAACGGGGTTTTTAAAAGAATTTTTATTCAAAACCCAAAAATGCCCAGAAACGTGGATTTTTAAAATAATTTTTATTCAAAAACCAAAAAACCCAGAAACGTGGATTTTGAAAAGAATTTTTATTCAAAACCCAAAAGGCCCAGAAACGTGGATTTTTAAAAGAATTTTTATTCAAAACCCAAAAGGCCCAGAAACGGGGATTTTTAAAAGAATTTTTATTCAAAACCAAAAAGGCCCAGAAACGGGGATTTTTAAAAGAATTTTTATTCAAAACCCAAAGGCCCAGAAACGTGGATTTTTAAAAGAGTTTTTATTCAAAACCCAAAAGGCCCAGAAACGTGGATTTTAAAAGAATTTTATTCAAAATCCCAAAGGCCCAGAAACGTGGATTTTTAAATGAATTTTTATTCAAAGGCCCAGAAACGTGGATTTTTAAATGAATTTTTATTCAAAGGCCCAGAAACGTGGATCTTTAAAAGAATTTTTATTCAAAATCCCAAAGGCCCAGAAACGTGGATTTTTACAAGAATTTTTATTCAAAATCCCAAAGGCCCAGAAACGTGGATTTTTAAAAGAATTTTTATTCAAAGGCCCAGAAACGTGGATTTTTAAAAGAATTTTTATTCAAAGGCCCAAAGGCCCAGAAACGTGGATTTTTGAATGATTTTTTATTCAAAATCCCAAAGGCCCAGTAACGTGGATTTTTAAATGAATTTTTATTCAAAATCCCAAAGGCCCAGAAACGTGGATTTTTAAATGAATTTTTATTCAAAATCCCAGAGGCCCAGAAACGTGGATTTTAAATGAATTTTTATTCAAAATCCCAGAGGCCCAGAAACGTGGATTTTTAAAAGAATTTTTATTCAAAATCCCAAAGGCCCAGTAACGTGGATTTTTAAAAGAATTTTTATTCAAAATCCCAGAGGCCCAGAAACGTGGATTTTTAAAAGAATTTTTATTCAAAATCCCAGAGGCCCAGAAACGTGGATTTTTAAAAGAATTTTTATTCAAAATCCCAGAGGCCCAGAAACGTGGATTTTTAAAAGAATTTTTATTCAAAATCCCAGAGGCCCAGAAACGTGGATTTTTAAAAGAATTTTTATTCAAAATCCCAGAGGCCCAGAAACGTGGATTTTTAAAAGAATTTTTATTCAAAATCCCAGAGGCCCAGAAACGTGGATTTTTAAAAGAATTTTTATTCAAAAGGCCCAGAAACGTGGATTTTGAAGAGAATTTTTATTCAAAACCCAATAGGCCCAGAAACGTGGATTTTTAAAAGAATTTTTATTCAAAACCCAAAAGGCCCAGAAAAGTGGATTTTTAAAAGGATTTTTATTCAAAACCCGAAAGGCCAGAAATGTGGATTTTTAAAAGAATTTTTATTCAAACCCCAAAAAGCCCAGAAACGTGGATTTTTAAAAGAATTTTTAATCAAAACCCAAAAGGCCCAGAAATGTGGATTTTTAAACGAATTTTTATTCAAAACCCAAAAGGCCCAGAAACGTGGATTTTTAAAAGAATTTTTATTCAAAACCCTAAAGGCCCAGAAACGTGGATTTTTAAAAGAATTTTTATTCAAAACCCAAAAGGCCCAGAAACGTGGATTTTTAAAAGAATTTTTATTCAAACCCCAAAAAGCCCAGAAACGTGGACTTTTAAAAGAATTTTTATTCAAAACCCAAAAGGCCCAGAAACGTGGATTTTTAAAAGAATTTTATTCAAAACCCAAAAGGCCCAGAAACGTGGATTTTTAAAAGAATTTTTATTCAAAACCCTAAAGGCCCAGAAACGTGGATTTTTAAAAGAATTTTTATTCAAAACCCAAAAGGCCCAGAAACGTGGATTTTTAAAAGAATTTTTATTCAAAACCCAAAAGGCCCAGAAACGTGGATTTTTAAAAGAATTTTTATTCAAAACCCAAAAGGCCCAGAAACGTGGATTTTTAAAAGAATTTTATTCAAAACCCAAAAGGCCCAGAAACATGGATTTTTAAAAGAATTTTTATTCAAAACCCAAAAGGCCCAGAAACGTGGATTTTTAAAAGAATTTTTATTCAAAACCCAAAAGGCCCAGAAACGTGGATTTTTAAAAGAATTTTTATTCAAAACCCAAAAGGCCCAGAAACGTGGATTTTTAAAAGAATTTTTATTTAAAACCCAAAAGGCCCAGAAACGTGGATTTTTAAAAGAATCTTTATTCAAAACCCAAAAGGCCCAGAAAAGTGGATTTTTAAAAGAATCTTTATTCAAAACCCAAAAGGCCCAGAAAAGTGGATTTTTAAAAAAAAATTTATTCAAAACCCAAAAAGCCCAGAAAAGTGGATTTTTAAAAGAATTTTTATTTAAAACCCAAAAGGCCCAGAAACGTGGATTTTTATAAGAATTTTTATTCAAAACCCAAAAGGCCCAGCAACGTGGATATTTAAGAGAATTTTTATTCAAACCCCAAAAGGCCTAGCAACGTGGATTTTTAAAAGAACTTTTATTAAAAACCCAAAAGGCCCAGCAACGTGGATATTTAAGAGAATTTTTATTCAAACCCCAAAAAGCCTAGCAACGTGGACTTTTAAAAGAATTTTTATTCAAAACCCAAAGGCCCAGAAACGTGGATTTTTAAAAGAATTTTTATTCAAAACTCAAAAGGCCCAGAAACGTGGATTTTTATAAGAATTTTTATTCAAAACCCAAAAGGCCCAGAAAAGTGGATTTTTAAAAGAATTTTTATTCAAAACCCAAAAGGCCCAGAAACGTGGATTTTTAAAAGAATTTTTATTCAAAACCCAAAAGGCCCAGAAAAGTGGATTTTTAAAAGAATTTTTATTCAAAACCCAAAAGGCCCAGAAACGTGGATTTTTAAAAGAATTTTTATTCAAAACCCAAAAAGTACAGAAACGTGAATTTTCAAAAGAATTTTTATTCAAAACCCAAAAGGCCCAGAAACTTGGATTTTTAAAAGAATTTTTATTCAAAACCCAAAAGGCCCAGAAACTTGGATTTTTAAAATAATTTTTATTCAAAACACAAAAGGCCAAGAAACTTGGATTTTTAAAAGAATTTTTATAGGAATTTTCATAGAAACCTAAAAGACCCAGAAACGTGGATTTTTAAGAGAATTTTTATAGAAACCCAAAAGAACCCGAATCGTGGATTTTTAAAAGGAATTTTCATAGAAATTTTCATAGAAACCCAAAAGACACAGAAACTTAGATTTTTAAAAGAATATTTATAGAAATTTTCATAGAAAACCAAAAGACCCAGAAACGTAGATTTTTAAAATATATTTGTAGGAATTTTTATAGAGACCCAAAAAGTCTAGAAACGTGGATTTTAAAATTAATTCTATTTGGATTTTTATATTAATTTTCTTTCCGAATAAAACTTTTTTTTGAAGATTTTTAAACAAATTATTTTTCTCTCTTTCTGTCGCTCTCTCTTTTCCAGCATTATAACGTCTGCAAAGCATGAAGGGTTGGTTTGATGCATTTCGAGACGATGGTGGGCCCACACTATATTCATTCTCGAATCGTACCCCCGTAACGGGCGATGTATCGATAGTAGCCGTATCTGTATTATTTGCAACATTCTATGTTGCATTCTTAGTTATATTTCCAGGTGTAAGAAAACAGGTGAGTGTTGTTTTTGTTTTGCTTTAAATGTCATTAGACCTAACTAATGTTAGTATGTAAATTAGCCTCAGTATTTTTTTTGAAAATCAAATGCAAATTTTTTCTGTTCATTTCCACCAAAAAAAAAAAAAAAAAAAAAAAAAAACGATAACAATGAACTTTGTTATTGATTTGCATTACAATGCAATGGATGGATCACGATGATTTTGAAAACGTGATTTCAATAAATAGGTTGCTGTTTAATTCTGCTAAAAGCGGAACATTTGTGAGCAGGTGTTTTGCTGTGAAAGGTTAGTTTATTTTTTCGGAAAGCAAAAAATATAAAAATACTATTGTAGTTCAAGGTTAACTTCGATTCGGAATACAGACATTACAAACAGAGCCTTAATTGTGTGGCATTGAAAAAGGTTTAGGTATCCTGATTCTACTGATCCCTCTCAAAAACCCCACACATGGATGGGTCTTCCTTAGGTTTTCCTGAAGTTAAAATTTCTTTTAAATCTGTGTCCATTTTCTTTTTCCTAAAATAAAAATTTGTCTCCAGTGGCCCCCTCCTGCCATGATTTTTAGCGATTGTTGGTGATATTTATGTTCCTCTGAAATTCAACTTCCAAATCGATTATTCTTCTAATTAAATATGACATTAAAATTGATTTTGCATTCGACTGAACACTGACATCCATGGGAACCCTGAACTGAGCTGTGCCGAGCCGTATGCGCCAGACAATATTTAATTGAACTTGAGCTCGGCAATGCATTTATTATTTGCCAGGCTAACGCAAATGGCAAAAATTAGAGGCAGTACTGCAACCTCTGCTACCACAGCTTCAATACGACTCTAAAAAAAAAGAAAAAAAAAAATTGAAATCAAAACCCCACCAAAAATTGTTTGTTGTCGCATATGCACAAATATGGTAATTTTCAATAACTATTATTTTGTCAGTTGTTGTTTTCGGAATATGCGACATCTAGTCACAATTATGCACACACAGACACCCTCATAGATATCCTCACACATGCCCACCATAAAAATACTAAAATGAATTTTAATCGACAAATTTTTTCTTCATTCTAAAAGCCATGACACTATAATGACTTTAACTAACTCTGAATGTGAATGTGAGTGTGTGACTGCCCCTTTTATTCAATTAATTTACAATTTTCTAATCATTTGTGGTCGGTCAAGCTGCACCAACGAACCAACCAACTAACCAGGCAGCTAACCAACCATCGCACCACTTTGAATATTATTTTGAGAGAGTCAAAAATTGGTTACTGCCGTTGTTGGTTAGCCGGTGTCATATTCGAATTGAATTCATTTCGTTTGTGATTTCAATGAATATCCAAATTCATTTGATATTAGAGATTTCGATGGGAGTAGAGTTTAAAAAAAATACAGAGGAGTCAGAGACTACGAATTTTAATATGGAGACATTTGAATAACCCCCAATCTAGAAATATTCTCAATGAAAACATATTAAATAATTTTTAATGGTCTCCAAACGTAGGAGGTTTTAAACAGGATATTGTTAACCCCACTTAGACCTGGAAATGGGAAATAAATGTTAGTGACCTCAAAAAAGTCGGGAAAGAATTGTTATTACCCGCAATTTAGCCTACATTGATAGATTTTTAAAAGAATTTTCTTGACCCCAAGGAGATCTAGAAAGGAGGATTTCATTGATTCCAAAGTGGTCCGGAAACGTGTTTTTAAAATATTTTTATTAGGCCTAAAAGATGAAGTTTTCAAAATTTCTTGCCAGCCCCATACTCAGAATTTTAACACAATTTTTATTAACCCCAAAAAGATTCAGAAAATGTAACTTTAAAAATTGGACCTAGGGATTATTAAACAAAATTTTATTGGTCGCAGACAGCCCTAGAAATTTGAGCATTTAAAATAATTTTACTGGCCCAAATAAGACTTAGAAAATGGGCTTTGAAAAAAAAAATTGGTTCAAAGAGGTCTAAGAACTGGAGTTCTTAAAACATTTTTTTAATTAAAAATTAAGTTTTCAAAAGTGTATTTATAGGTCGCAAGTAGGTCTAAATACGTGGATTTTTATAAGAATTTTCATTAGTTCCATAAAGGTCTAAAACCGAGAATTATTAACAGATTTTTTACAAGCCTCAAAAAGGTCTATAAAAGGGGGGTTTTAAAAAGAATTTTTACTATCCAATTAGATCTAGAAACGTGGATATTTTTATTTACCCCAAATAGGCCTAGAAACGTGGATTTTTAAAAGAATTTTTATTCGCCCCAAATAGGCCTAGAAACTTGGTCTTTTTAAAGAATTTTTATGAGATCCCAAGAGCTCAGGAAACTTGGATTTGTAAACGAATTTTTATTTAACCCAAACAGGCCTAGAAATGTGAATTTTTAAAAGACATTTTATGGGCCCCAAGGAATTACAGAAACAGAGATTTTAAAAAGAATCTGTTATTCACCCCAAATAGACCTAAAAACGTTGATTTAAAAAATTATAGGCCCCAGTAGGCCTTGATACATTGATTTTTAAAAGATTTTTTATAGGAACGAAAAAGGCACAGAAACTTGGATTTATAAAAGAAATTCGATGCAAATTTACCGAGGCCCAAATTCCTGCTAACAATCAAGGATTTTTTAAAGTTTAATGTTTCTACAGACTCCGGTCTACAGATGACCAGATTTCGGCCTATAATGAAAAAAAAAAAATGGTTTTTTGTCCTACAGTGGCCCAGATTCTGGCCTTAATTCAAGAATTAAAAAATGGTCGGATTCTGGCATAGAAACAAGTTTTCTACTGGTTCTCCAGATATTGACCTAGAATCAAGGACTTTTACAAAAACTATTTACGTCCAGAATCCGGTCTAGAATCAAGGATTTTAAAAAATAGTTACTGGTCCTATGGGGGCCCAGATTCCGACCTAAAATCAAGAATTTAAAAAAAAATTGTATGGCCCTACAGAGGCCAAGATTTCGACCTAAAATCAAAGATTTTTGAATCAAAAATTAAAAAACAATGTTTTCTGTCCCTACAGAGCCCCATGTTCCGCTATAGAACCAAGGATTTTGAAGTGAGTTTTATTGATCTTAAAGAGGCTTAAGAGGCGTTTTGCTCCTAAGGAGACCTAGAATCAATGATGTTTAAAATAATTTTATTGGTTTCAAGGAAAAGGACATAAAAGGTTAACATTTCATAAGATAAGTTAAGAAGTTTAGTAGGTTTTGACGACTGATTTATATCATCAGCTTCTGTCCGTTTTTTTTAAATATTTTGAATTCAACATAATGTATTTTTCAAGTTTTTCCTTTTTGAAAATAATAATAGGATAAAATATTTACCTTTTACTTCAACTATAGCACAAATTTCAAAATCACCATCAGATCTCAATACCAGATACCAACAGGGGACTTAATATACATTTCGAGATTCCAGCTCAAAATCCAATTGAGTACCACTTAGTACTTTTTGAAGAATGTACTACTTTCCATGCCACCTTATCTTAACACCAACGGGGACCTACATCCCTTCATATAATTTAGTACAATTTAGAGCTTTTCATATAATCATAGTATATATTTCAATTCTCAATTCCAGATGCTGACAGATACCTCAATATCTTCACCCTTCCCCCAATACCAAATTTAGTTCCATTTAATACTTTTGTACAATTATAAAACACATTTTGAAAACCTCCAACATACATCTCAACTGAAGATACCAACAGAGACCTCAATTTCAAATTTTAGGATTCCGACTCTATCCCTTCACCCAATTCCCGATTCAGTATCATTAAATATTTTTCGGACAATTCATTTCCAAACCACTGCCAAATCTCAAACACAGATACCATCTGTAATCTAAATATATAATTTCAGATTTGTATCCGTATCCATTCACCCAGTACCAAAAATAGCACCATTCAGTACCTTTCGTACAATTATAGTACAAATTTCCAAAACCACTTCTAGATGTAAAGGCTTTACATGAACAGCGACCCTAATACCAAATATCAAATCAAAATTAGTACCAAAACTAACCTGTAATAAATAAATAGGACCCAAGCAAGTCTGGAATGTGGTTTTTAAAAAGATTTTATTCTGACTCAACAGTGTCTAGAAATGTTGATTTTTAAAAATATAGCTTTTGGCCTCTGGAGGTCTAGAATCTGGGATTAAAAAAATTATTGGCACGAAAGAAGCCTAAAATCAGGGATTTGTAAAAGAAATCTATAAACCTGGGTCTTAAAACAATTTTATTTGCCGCCAAATAGGTCTTTAAAAATTATTTTTTAAGCCTCTTAGGCCTGGATTTTAAACGAAGGCTATAATAAGTAGACTTTTCACAGAGCATTTTAGTTAGTTCAATCCCCACCCATCCAGGTGTGCCTTTGATATTCATATCTTCATACATAGAAATCTCTCTTAATGCCGCAGGTGTTACTTCTTAAGCAGATGATTAAACAGTCATTGAATCGAGCCCTATCGTATATGATATACATATAAGGGGCATACTGCTCTGATCAACCTACACAAAAATTTTCCACATAATATTAATTTATTGAATAACCGAGTTATCTACCTTGCCCAATGCCCAATCTTCCTTTTCAATTTCTATTCCTCATCGATTTCTCCCTCCTGTAAACCCAAAAATGTCTCCTTCGACATCCCTATTTTTATTCATACATACAATTACCCCATGTACATATATTTGCATGGAAGTAATTGTTGGATACCATTGTAGCGTTTTTGGGGTTTCAGCATCATTTTTAATTCACACTTCTATGCACAATGCATCTGCAGCAACACCAACAACACCAAAAATATATTTGGCGTTCATTCTAATTGAAAGGGGCGAGCTTTTGCTCACTTGGGGAGTATCAACATGATTTTTCCCAGCCAAATGTATGCAAATGAATTATAAATGGTATGGCAACAATTTACTTAATTCCAATATAATGGCTAACTATAGATAATAATATTTTAACATTTATAAAGCCTTATTTGCCCATGGGCT